CTTCTTCCTGCTTCTGGGCCTCATTGTGCCATTAGGGCAGCAAGTGGAGAGTGCTGTGTTCAGACTAATCATGTTTGCCAGCACCTGTCACTGAATGTTGAGCTACTGACAACTCACTGCTGAAGCCTTTGTCTCCTTTACTGAAACCACTTCTGGGTTAAGCTCTTGTCAGTGGCCACTGCTTTGTCTGCTCCTCTCACAATTTTTACAAGGCTGAGGCTATATCACTGAGCAATCCTTCTGTTCAGTTTTCTGCATTTGGGGGACAAAACCCACCATGACCATTGCTCAAGGCTGAGTGAGACCACCATTCAGGCCTCCGCAGGCTTCAAACCACTGAGGAAAGACCACCGAGTTCAGTGTCAGTAAATGACCCACAGCCTGATTCAGGAATGAGACCCCCTGTATCCTGACTCCCTGGCCCCACAGAGCCAAGTGGGGGACAGAATTCTAATTGATGGGAATGTATTCATATTTTGATAATGTATTTCAGTAGAAATGAAGAAAGTTATTGGTGTGGAGAGCTTATGAACAAAACACCAAAGGGTAAAAATTCAGAGTCACCACTTGGATGGCAGGTGAGAGTGCTTTTTGCACTTGCTGGGGTCTCGTTCACACCCGTGGCCTCAGTCACCATCTCTGGCCAAAAGTTGTCCTCATCTGCATCTCCATCCTGATCTCTCCTGAGTTCCAAAGAGCCTTTTCAAGTGAGCATTTCTACCTGGATGACACACAGTCACAGCAAACCCAACATGTTCAAAACCAAACTCACTACTTTTTCTCAAAGCCTGCTCCTCCCCAGGCAGTCCCCACCCCAGGGAGTGCCAACAGTCACTCAAGCCAGACACCTGGGAGTGCTTCTCGACTCCTCTCATCCTCTCCACCATCCGTCCAATCAGTCACCACACCCTGAATGAAGGTGCTGCCACCTCAACTTCTCTTGAGCCTATTAACCGCTCCCATTCCCACAACCACTGTCTCCATCCAGGCCACGCCGTGTCCTGCCCAGAGTACTTCATGGTCTCTGACTTGTCTCCTTGCCTTTACTCTGGTCCCCTTCCATCCGTTTGACCCAGAACTCATAGTAATTCTTCTCAAACACAAATCAAATCATGTTGCCATTTTGTGTAAAAACTCTCAGTAGCATTCCAGTGGCCTTGGGTTAGAATGTAAACCCCTTCACCTATCACATGAGGCCTTTCACAGTGCAGCCTTTATCGGCCTCATCAGCTCTCTCTTCCCCTTTGAACGCTACATCCCAGCCATGTTCAACACCCTTCTGCTCCTCACACGTTTCCAGGCCTTTGCGAATGTGCCTGCCTTCTCCCCGTTTCTCCTCTTCTTGCTGTTATTGAAATGTAAAATGCATACAGCAAAGTGCACATATCACACGTGTACAGCTCGGTGAATGGTCTCAAATGTGCACACCCTTGTAACATGAACATGAAGAGGACCGGTATTCCAGGAGCCTCCTTCATGCCTCTTTTCACTACCCCTCCCAAGAGAAATCACTACCCTGACTTCTAATAGCACAGGCTAGTTTTTCCCACTTTTGTACTTTATATGAATGAAAGCTCACACAATGTGTCAGATCTCCTGCTATGTAACAAGATGCCGATAAACTACATGGCCTAAAATAACCTTAAAAGTCCCACCTTCAGCGTCACTTCATCACTCCTTGTAGCTACGTTCTTTCATCCACTTCATCACCAAGCTTCTTGAAAACTGCCTCCACTCAGTGTCCACTTGTCCTGTCCGCCCATTCACTCTTCAGTCCGCTGCCTCCATCCGTGTCCTTCCACTGAAGCTGCTCTCATCAAAGGGTACCAGTTACCTTCTTATTGTTGAGCCAAATAAACAACATTCAGCCTTTTCCTACTTGATGCCCCTCGCCACCCATCCCCTAGTTCAGGGAGTCACCAAATCCTAGTAATTCTCCCTCTTTAACCCATTGTGTATTTGTCCTACTTCTGTCTCCACTCGTTACCTCCTGCCTGGACTAAGCCCCAACCACTCTTCCAGACTTATCATTCCAACATGCTTTTCCCTGATTAAAAATCCAGACTGGCTCGCTGTGCACTATGGAATGAAATCCAAACTGTAGCAACACAGGAAGACTTTTTAACCTGTGGCTCAATCTCCCTTTCCATGCTCTTTGCCTAACACACACATTGAATCTGCATTCTTGTGAACTTGACCTCTGAATTTCTGCTGGGAGGTTCTCTCTTGCCTGGAATACCTTTCAGCCCATTTTCCCCTGTAAACCTATTCATTCTTCATGCCATATCTTGAATCCCATCTCCTCTATAAAACCATGCCGTTAGCAGCTCCTTTTCTGATTCTGTTTGCTACTATTGGGTTGTCGGAAAAGTCATGATGCATTTTTGCAATGAAAACTACAGAAAAAATATGTCATGACTTTTCCGACAACCCAATGTTAATATTAAGGTCAATGAATATTATTATAATATGCCTGGCTCATTTCCCCTAGAACATAATCTCCCTGGGGCAAGATCTTTGCTTTGTTCACTGATATATCCCAAGCTCCAGAAGTATGCCCAGCACATAGTAGGGCATACTTCTAAACACATGTTAAGTGAATGAATGGTGAACATTTATTGAGCACTTATTATGCCAGTCACTTTCACACTATATCTCATTCCATCCTCACTACAGCCCTATGAGAAAGAAACTGTATTTACCCCAATTTTGCATGGGAGAGAACTGAAGCTTAATGAGATTAAGTAACTTGCCCCAGATCACACAGATACATGACGAAGCTAGGATTTGAACCCTTATTTCTTCAAGCCCTAAATAACCTCACTTTACCATCTTTCAACTTCGTCTATAGTGGTGCCTTGCATAAAACCACACTGTAGGTCATAGTAGGCTCTCAGCAAATGGACTGTTATCTTGAAGTAGTGGAAATATTGCTTTACATATTTGTGTCTTCATTGTATTATGAGTTCCCTGAGAATAGGAACCGAATACTAATTATTTTATTTTCCCACCATCACTACCAAAATATCCAAGGAACCAGCACAGTGTCTTACACACATTTATGTTCACTAAAGTGTTTATTGGATTAAATAAATGGGTGTGCTGCAGCGTTTGGTACAGAATCCTTTTTGCACAATCAGTAATTCGAAGCACACTCCTGATGGTTGCTGCCTCTTCTGACCCTTTGCCTCTTCAGCACGATTTAGGCTCAGGGCCACCCCTGGCTGACCCGACCGCCACCCTCACCCCGGTGCTCTGCCATCCTTCCTGTCCGCATGAAACCCCCTGACTGTCTTCCGGCTGTCAGTGGCCCGGTCACACACAGCACACTCTGCCCTCCCCCTCCTCTCCATGACCCCAAGCTGTGCTTGAACGTGGCAGCTTTGGTCATGCTTGACAGTCAGGGCAACATGACATTTATGTAGATAATTGGAACACAGTGCAGACTGTGATAAACAGCGAGAGTCATGAGGTACTGGGGGAGCTGTGAAGAGGCAGGAATTCCTAGCTAAATGATGGAGGAATGGAAAATGAATTAAGTTATTGTCTTTTTCATCCTGTTAAAAGTTTTTTTTCAAATAGTTTAGCTTTTTCTAGTTTTATCAATTATTTAAGATTGTCGATTGCAAGTCATAGAAACTGGAGTGGTTGAAGCTGTATTATAAGGGGAAATTTATTATAAGGATACAGAGTCTCTAGGAACACAAAGCTTGGAGTGCAGCCAGGCCTCAGGGGGAGACAGAAGCAGGACTAGAAGGTAGTCCAGGATCTGGGCAGCTTTCTTTTCCCAGGTCTTACCCTTCTGCCTCCGAACCTCTGCCTCATTCTTGTTTCTCTGTGGGCCTCCCCTAGCCCACGAGCCTCATTATGGTGCATGGCTGCCATGGGCTACTGAGTTTACACTTGGTAAGACTAACTGTCTCCATGAAAATCACAAATCCCCAGGGAAATATACCTGATTGGCCCAGCGCACATCAGGTGCCCACCTGGGCCAATCACCTGTCACCAACAGAGCAGGGTAATGGTGCTCAGTGATTGCTGCCAGGCACCCACCTCTGTTCAAGAGCGAGAAGCAGAAAGGGTCATTGTAAGCTGAGCAAGCGCTCCAAAAATGTGCACGACCCTTGATTCTGTTGTCTGATAATACCCTTGTGAAAGAATTTTGGGTGCTTCCCCAGAAATGGAACCAATTAAGGGGCTTCCTATCTTGGAGATTCTTTTTCAGAAACAAATACATACATATGAATTGCCATTTAGCAAACATCACCCTAATTACCTAAGACGATGTTCCACGGAGCATTCTTAAGAGGTTTTTTTATGCCAATTTTGTTCATCAAAGGCCTAGAATCTTGGTTTCCACCAGATGCCTCGTACACAGCTAGGTGGCCTATCAGAGCACAGCCCAAAAGAAAACCAGGCTGGGCGCTGCTCCGTCTCAAGGTCTTACACAAATGATGCCCACACCTCCCCTTCAGCAACCAGAGTGCCCCCCACTTTCTAATAAGCCAGTGTAATTGGTCTGGGGAGACAGAATCCCCTCCTTTTGAGGGCTCTATACCCCGACAAATTCTGAGACAGCTAACTTTGGCCACTGCTTCCTTAATGTGGCCAGAGATCAGGAGGGAGGATAGATCCTGCTTTCCTTGTGATCTGGCCTTGCCCACTCAGTGACTCATCAATCCAGGGCTAGGCAAGGCTAATCTGAAAAGTTTATCTAGCTCAGAAGTGGGAAGGCTGGAGTCCCGTGGCCCAAGGCAGATCCAAAGCTTCCCGCACGTTCATCCCTCCCAGACGTGGCCCTCGAGGCACCACCTCACTCCCTGCGGTTGGATCCCAGGTTGGCACGTGCTACATGGGCCCCAGAGTTAAAGGTACGGCCCCAGGTTGTGATGAGGTGGGGTCAGGGCCTGTCCTGGAGGGTGACCTTGTACTTCTTCTCCTCCTGAGGCGTGATGCACCCCACCTGCGCCTTTTCAGTGACCCCTCTCTGACTCTTCCAGGCTCCCTGGGTACAGCAGGCCGTGTGTGCAACCTGACCTCCCGAGGCATGGACAGCTGCGAAGTCATGTGCTGCGGGAGAGGCTACGACACATCCCGCGTCACAAGGATGACCAAGTGTGAATGTAAGTTCCACTGGTGCTGTGCTGTGCGTTGTCAGGACTGCCTGGAGGCCCTGGACGTGCACACATGCAAAGCCCCAAAGAGCGCCGACTGGGCGGCTCCCACATGACCCCAGTGGAGGTCACCGTCCACCTTCCCTCCCGCAAGGACTCCATCGGATCTGCAAGGACATGGGCCCTCCGCTTCTCTCGGGAAGATTCTTCCTAAGGCTTGCGGCCTTTGTCTCAGCAAAGCCCCCCTCGTCCCTGGAGGCCCCAGGATTGGGCCACATGCTGCCCACAGGGCATGCCTCCTCTCTCCACTTCCGCTGTCTGGGGCACATCTCTCCCTGGTCCTGACAGGGCTGCTAGAGGGGAACGGGAGTGGGCCCGGATCGCTGCTCCACCCGCCTCCATGGCTCCTCTCCAGAGCAGTCGGCCAAAGGGAGAAAGAGTGTCTCCAAGGAGTTTTCTCTGTGTTTTCCAATAAATGCTCACAGTTGAATTCCGTACTTCTCTCTGGAGGGTAAAGAAAGCAGAACCCACTGCCACTGAATTAGCTTTCATTCTTGAAAAGACCAAGCAAGGCTTTTGCCTGATCAAGTGATTTTCACAGCCACCACCTCTAGGGCTCATTGACAGTTACCTGGAGAAGGGTGGCTTTCAATGAACTTCAGGGTTAAAACGCGTATATTTCAAGGCATTTATTGCCATATGAAAATCTGATGTGACGAGGTGGGACTGTTGTCCTTTGGTACAGCAGTAGCGAAAGCCTCAGAAAGTAATTGCTCTGCATGACTACCCCTCGACATAAAGAACATTTAGGGTATGAGACTGCTTCCTCACTTAGGATCTGAAGGGAGTTCAAAAGAAGATTGACAACCTGGCAGTATTCTGTAACTATTGGGTGACAATGGAGGAAAATAGTGGAGTATCAGAAAATGTGTCTGTACAGATAACGAAAAACGGGGGAATAAAATTCCTATCTGGTATGATGCACGTGACCTATGGAATTTTGTACCTGAAACAGCTTTGAGAATGAAAACTTCTGAGACGACAAGAGAAGGGAACCAAAATGCTGACAGAGAGGTCCCCAATGCTAAGTCCTGCCTAGACAGCCTGTACCATAAACAGACGCCTGACAAAAGTTGGCCACGTGTGCAGAAGAGTATCAACTAGCTCCTGTCACCCTTCCAACACATCTTAAAGACCTGTCATATGTAATTGTGTTCATTCCTTGCATACAAGACAACAAAATACCATAGCCTGAAGCAAATGACACATAGCCTTGCTTACAAAGTTGGTAACCCTGGTATATTATATTGCAAGCAAATCGTAACTTGTAGACTATATTTCAGGGACCTAGCTATGATTATGAGAACATCAATATGCAAATTGCGGTTGGCTTCTGCCATGAGATAAAAGATGCTATCCAGGGGAAAAGGAGAGGCTGCCTGCCCTTCTCTGTGTGTGACATGGAAGGAAGGTGAAATACCCGAAGCTACTTCTCATCTCTCCTACAATCAGGTACTTGCTCGAAACGTGGTCTCTTCCCAGGGCTACCCTGACTAACAGGCTGTTTCAGTACATGCATCTGAGGTGGAAGTGTTAACGCTTGCTCGCTTTCTACTCGTTTGGCCTCCAGCTCCTCTATCCTTGCTTTACAGCAAAACATGGCTTGCGTAAACAAGCTGTGGGGGACTCTCATGATTGATATTTGCCTCCTTGCCCTTTTCAGAATCACAGCATTCGTCTCTTTTCCCTCACTCCCAAACCCCAAAATTCATTGTCTAGTTTTTCCAAAGTGGATCTTCCCTCTTTTTATCTTACGGATGCACAGAACGGGAAGCCTGGAGTGTGACAATCGCTGCTTTGTCCTTAGGGGGGCTGCAGGGAGCGGGAAAACTGGGAACCTGGGTTCCGTCATAGTTACACTGATGCTTGCTGTGAATGCCTTCCTGAGAAGATGAAGGGACCTTCATGGGGCCCCAGCCATTAGCCCTTCTTCTTGCTGGATGAATTGTGAAATCATAAATCTATGGCTATAATTAGACATGGAGAGGTCTTAGAAAACATCTCAGCTCCCCTCAGTTCATATCTGGGGAAACCGAGACCAAGAGAGGAGAAGGGATCTGTGCAAACAGCCCTTACCCCTGTGCTCCACTCCAAATTGGACCGCACTCCAAGAGTAGTTGAGAGAGTTAAGCACTTTATTAAATGAAACTAGTCTGTTTCAGCATCAACGCGGTGGATTCTAAATAATTTTAGCATCCAAAGGCAATGTTGGTTTTATTTTATTCATGGAATGCTTAGATCTGACTTTCTTTTTATGCTGAAATGCATCTTTCCTGTAAGGAGCAAGGGGACAAGGCATATCCATGTGGAAACCTGCATAAATTGCCCTAATATGTAAGGGAGACTCCAACAACCATTTCAAGTGGCAGTGGGTGTGGCTGTTGTGGAGGGGAAAATGAAAGAGTGAAACTTTGTGTCTGCTTTTACTTCTGAAAGAGGAAATCTCCATTATTTGAAAAACAATTGAAAATAAAAGGTGACGATAACTTCAAATTCAATTTCTTTAGGGCCTTGTAGAGCATCGATAGTCTATGATTCTAAAATATACTAAATAAACTTTTGACTAACTGAGGTTTTTAAGGGAGTGCATGGCATGAATTACCCAAAACGAAAAACTCTATTCACTTGAATCCCCTTACAAATTCCCTCCTCCCAAAACTCTTATTATAAATTGAAGTTTTTTAGGCCCAAGATGATACCACTAATTTTCTGCAATATCTGAAAAAGTTCCACAGAATAGGGCATCTTGACTAATTCACTGGAGTTTTCAACAATAAAGATAAAATCTGCACATGACTCTGAGACTTAGCAAATGGGTTGTTTTCTTCAATGGTTTGCTTCCCTAAGTCAGTCCGTGGTGCCAACTGACCTTTGTATTCTGTGAACACGCATGTCAAGGTCCATTCTAGTTACAGTCTCCCAGACAGCTCCTCATGCTCTGAAAGCATTAATACCCTGCCTTGAGAGACCACTTCACCCCTTCAAATGGCTTAAACTCAAGCACAAAAACCCCCAATGCCATGACCATACTCAGCTGTGGCTCTGTGCCCTGTGGAGATGGGGGCCCTGGCAAGGTATGGGACCACAGATGCTTCAGGGTGGCAGTGGGAGGGGCATAGAGCACCCCGGAACACAGACTGTCTCATAGAGTTGTCACCAGATTGAAATGAGCATCTCAGAAGGAGCTATCAGATGGCAACGTAGTCTGCTTGGAGCCAGATGATGGGGAGGGGTGTGAGAGGGAAAGAGCTGGGTATCTGTTCCCAACAGCCCGGCGAGCTGGGTAATGGTGGAGACTGCTTTTCCAGCTCCTGTTGGTAACCTCCACCCTTCTTCCCGCAATTGCTTACCTGTCCCCTCCCAGCACCTGCTTCTGAGGCTCAGGGCTCGAAGCCTTTGCCCAGATCTTCCATACCTATGGTGTAGCTCTGCCAGAGGCTACCAACACTAATTTCCAGAGATACTCTCAACTGTCACAACCATATTCTTTTTTATTGGAGTTATTATGTAGCTTGAACTCATCAGGTATCACATTTCTTTTTCAAAGAAGGAGCTTTACGTTCAGCAAATCTACCTTCATGTTGACATTTCTCAGCTCTATTAACTTATTAAGGAATCTTCTATCGAGCCTGGGAGACCTGACACGGGCCTCTTTGTCAGAGGCAGCTAACATGACTGTGCGTGCTTCTGTGCTTGGTGGCATTTTCAAGCCACGATTTTGTTATTCCTTCTCACTTATTAAAGAGCGGCCTGGGGCTCGTGCTGTCTCGCTAAGCTGAGGAACATTCATCTCCCCTTTCGCCCACTCTCAAAATAAAGGCTCAGTGGACCAGAACCATCCTTTTGTGTCTATTTACTGTACTCAACCTGGGTTCCCTTAGCTGAAGAGCAACAGTTGTGCTCTTAACAAATACACCTCACAAGTTCCAAAGCTGGTAAATTGCTTTTGTCAGGTCTGTGCTGACCTTCTGAAAAGCCATGCACTCTGCGAGCTGACAGCTGAGGCGTGCTTGTCCTGACCTTCTCCTTACCTAGGCAGAGAAAATTTTCACTCATCCGTGAGAATGTTCTTTACATTTTTCTGGGGATCAGCAAGGTGACAGGTGGTTTGCAAAGCCCAACATGATCATTATTTTTCTAAATCATAGTTGTTCCAGCTCTAGGGTTTTTTTCCTCCTGATAGTCACATGGGTTCCTGTTTAACCAAACCTCCCACTTCCACAGGCTAATAAAAGTGACACGCAGATTGTTATAAAGAACTATTGTTATTTACAAGTCTACATTTTCTGTAAAATCAAAACATAATAAAGTGAATTTTCAGTGTTGACTTTGTTATTTTAAACTTATGATCATCTTGCCAAACCCTCTGATGAAAAGAATTCCCTGCAGGTTATGGGAAGTACCCCCACGTCTCTTCTCAGGACCACACAACACAACTTGATCAAGAGGTGTCTTTCAAGTTTGTAAGGATTTCCAGGGAAGGCCACTGACTTAACTTACTGAGAACTGCTCTTGGGAGCTAATGGGTAAGACTTATATCTGGACTGGGAAAGATTCCAGATTTCCAGTCGGTGTTCTCCTGCGGTTATGCCCTCAGGTGCCAGCACGCCTTGGCAGTGCTTATAAATTCAATCTCTGCACATCTGATGACTTCTCTGAATTACTGCTTTCCATGTAAGTGCTTGCTCTGGGTTGAAATGGTATTTTCTCAGCTTGATTGAAAACATATAAGGCCCCTCACCCCTTCACTGAGATCTGTGCATCCTGATGGTGTGTGCTGCTCATCTCCAAGGAGTGAAACCTCAAAACATGGAAATAGACTCTCCCAGCAAAGGAAATCCAGTCTCGTTTCCTCCTCAACGATGGACTATGTTTTGGGGTAACCTGACCAAGGTGCTCTCTTCAAGCACCCCAGGATGGCTCTAGGTCAGGCTGTTCACCTGTCCCTCTAGGATTCCATTGTCCTTCCAGAAACTCCCAGGCTTGGGTGATCTGAAGAAGAGGTGGTGTCGCATGTGTCTGTGTGTTTTACAAAAGGGCATTTCCCAAAAATATTTTTACCCAAACACTGTCAATGACATTTCCCTGTCATCTAGCCCTTTGGGTGAGGGGCTGTCCTGTGCATTGTAGGGCTTTTAGAAACAACCCCAGTATCTACTCATTAGATGCCAGAGCAAGTCCCCTGATCCCCAGCTGTGACAACCAAAAGTGTCCCCAGACATTGCCAGGTGTCTCCAGTGAGGGGAGGAGGCAGCAAGGGATAAGAGTAAAACTGCATCTGGTTCTCAAACTATTGATCTAACACTTTGGGTTAAGTCCTTTATTCAAAAGCAAGCCACCTATATCCCTGACATTTTCAGTTGGAGGCACCACTGGGAGTATTGGTTTCATGGGATGAGTTCTCAGTGTTAGTGCATCAGACCAGCTGGGAAGCAATCTTTTGGAAAAGTTATTGTCATAGAACCCCTCAGCATCATGGGCAGAATGAGACAAGCTGAGACTAGAAACTCACTTAGGCCACACTGTGTGTCCCTAGATGGTGGGAACGCATGAGGCTCTTGGGTCCCTGAAGATGGGAATTAAAGGAAGGATAGAAGATTAGCAAGGAGAAACAATAATGTAGTTTTAGAAGCTAGCAGCAGAATTCCTAGGAACTCCCCAGTTTCACAACACTTAGCGGGGGGGAAAAAGCCCAGGATATGGTCTGGAGGGGTGAGAATGTTCTAGCGCTGCCTAAAATCATTGAGCAATTTTGAGTTTCTCAGGGCAGAAAAGAGGGTAATAATGCAAAAGGAACACTGCAAAATGGAGAAAGTCTGAGATTCAAGCAAAGAGATGGTGCAGCTTTCCAGTTGAAGTCCAGTGTGTGTGTGTGTGTGTGTGTGTGTGTGTGTGTGTGTGTGTGTGTGTGTGTGACCTT